AAGTCCTCCACAGGAGCCCTTTGTCTGTATCTCTTGACAGTATGTAAGAGGAATAATTGGGTTTTCCAAGAGTTACCCTTGTTCTCAACATATGACTGGCCTCTATCTCCTTTTTTCCATATTATAGCTCTCTGATGATATTCTTTACACCTCTTAAATGGACAGTTTCATAATTGGTTTTCTTCTGCAGCTTAGTCACACCTACTTATGCACCTCTCCATTGTTCTTTGGGTGATTTTCAACTTTTATTCTGTGGAGATTGCTGTTTTACATGATTCATTCCTGTACTGCATCCACCAGAAGATCTTGATATTAAAATGATTGACCTTTGTTTCAAGTTGCTTAGTGGTCATTAAAAGCACTGTGCAATTTCTTAAATTCAGCCCTACACTCCCCTGTCCAGTTCTGGACCCAATTCATTTGTCCATCTGTCCAAGATGTCTTTACTGACAGACTAGCTCTCCATCTGACTTCATAGCATACCTTGGTAAAAGTATCTTTTCTCTACTTAATTTTTTGCTTGTGAATGGATAAATAGAACACTTATTAAGTACCAGCAAAGTGCTAAGTGCTAGTAATACAAGTACAAGCAGGCCTGTCTATCAGTCTGATAAGTAATATGTTCTGTATTCTTCAGATTTTCTTATAATATCTTTTTATATCTAGGTCATGTATCCATTTTGACCATATCTTGGTAAATGGTGTAAGATATTGGTCTGTGCCCAATTTCTGCCATACTGCTTTCCAGTTTTCCCATCGGTTTTTACCAAATAATCAATTCTTATCCCCAAATATTCTTTACTTGTCAATTACAAGGTCACTATATTTATTTGCTGCTGTAAACTATATATCTACTCTGTTCCCATGCCAGATAGTTTTGACAATTACTGCCTTATAATATAGTTTAAGATATGATACTGCTAAACCTCCTTCCTTTACTTTTTTTTTGGGGGTTAGTTCCTTTTATATTCTTGACTTTTTTTGTTTTAGGGCAGAGTAAGGTACAAAATGGATAATTTCGGTTACATTAAATTAACAAGTTTTTGTACATATAAAACAAATGTAGCCAAGATCAGAAGGAAAGCAGAAAATTGGGGGGGGGGAATTTTTATAGACAGTTTCTCAGATAAAGGTCTCATATCTCAAATACATAAAGAACTATGTCAAATCTGTAAGAATGCAAGTCATTCTCCAATTGATAAATGGCCAAAGGATATGAGCAGGCAATTTTCCGATGAGGAAATCAAAATAAGTATAGTCATATGAAAAAATGCTCTAAATTATTGATTAGAGAAATGCAAATTAAAACAACCTTGAGATATTGTTTTACACCTACCAGATTGGCTAAAGTGATTGAAGGGGAAAGCAACAAATGTTGGAGGGGATGTGGAAAAATTGGGACACTAATTCAATGTTGGTGGAATTGTGAACTGATCCAACCATTTTAGAAAATAATTTGAAATTCTGCCCAGGAGGGCAGGAGTTGATTTGGGGGAAAAGGAAAAGAACTTATGTGTTCTAAAATATTTATAGCAGCTCTCTTTGTGATGGCAAAGGAACTGGAAATTTCAGGAATGCTTATCAGTTGTGGCATACAATTGGTGATATGCAGTACAAGTTGTGGTATATGACTGTGATGGAATACTACTGTGCTATAACAAATGATGAGCTCAATGATCTTAGAAAAAACATGGATAGACTTTCACGAAATATTGAAGAGCAAAATGGGTAGAACCAAGAGAACGTTGTATACAGTAACAATAGTATTGTTTTAAGAACAAATTTGAACAAAAAAAGTCATTTTTACTATTACAAATACCCAAATTAACTACAAAGGACATATGAAGGAAGATGCTATCTGCATCCAGAGAAAGAACTGATAAATAGAAGTATGTATAGAATAATTTTACACACACACACACACACGTCTGATGGTAGCCATTCTGGGGCGGGGGGAGATTTTACGTGCTAACTTTATTATATATTTAAAAGGAATAGCAAGTTGTACATAATAATTTAGTTTCATGTGCAGTCATCCTTTTTTTATAATATGGTGTTGTGGAAATGCTTGTTTTATTCCATAAATTAAAAATAAAATAAATAAAAAATTTAAAAATACAAGCAAACAAGATTGTCCCTGCCCTCCCAAGATTGTATATCTAATGGAACAAGACAACACGTAAAGGGAAGCTGGAAGAAATGGGGAGAAACTCCAGGGAGATCATGGTACGGAGATAGCCAGGAAGTGGTCTGGGTCTAGGTGGGATAAGACAGTAGCATAGCTTCTCCAGGACAGCAGGTGGGAGATGAGATGGGGACGATTGTCAGAATGCAGGTGACATTCTTCTCATGTTCTTCCCCTTTGGGATACTACCTGCCAATCACGAGTCAAGTCAAGGCAACAAGTATTCATTAAATGCTAGAAATACAGAAAGACAAAATGGTTCCTGCTCTTGAGCTCATAGGCTAATAGATCATGTAAACACTCCTATATGTAGAAAATATAGACCAGGTAAATTGGGAGATATATTCAAAGGGAAGGCACTAGTATTAAGAGGGATCAAGAAAGGCTTCTTGGAGGAGGTGGTATTTGAACTAAGATTTGAAGGATGTCAGGAGTCAGAGACTAGAAAGAAAAGCCTTCTAAGCATGGAGGCTAGCCAGTGAAAATGCTAGTCAGAGGTCAGGGGAGGGAGTGTCTTATGCATGGAATTGTAGAGTAGATGGAGCAGAGTAAAGTGTAAGGAGACTGGAAAGGTATGAAGGGCTTTATAAGCCAGAGGGTTTTATATTTGATCCAGAGTTAACAGGGAGCCACTGGAGTTCATTGAATTGGAGGGGAAGGGAATGGGGTGTGAGAATGTGTGGCTTGGTCAGAACTACACTTTAAGAAGATTGCTTCCTAAGTGTTGGCTGAATGGAGGATGGACTGAAGCAGGGAGACTTGAAGCAAGCGTGAGGGGATGAGAACCTGAACTCTCTACAGTGTGGTAGTGTCAGAGGCAAAAAGGGGGCATATTCAGGAGATAGTAGAAAGGTAAACTTGGCAGGCCTTGGCAAAAGCATGGATATGGTGGGGAGAGAGAATGAGGAATGCAGGATGACTGAGGGGATGGTGATGGCCTGGTCTGGGTACCATGAGCAACTACCCCATTGACCAGGGCTGAGAATGAGACTACAACCACTTTGGCCTCAGTGTGCTTACAACAGAGCTGGGTTCTTGAAAAGGAGCCCTCCAAAATTTTGTGCAATAATTCTCTTCAGTTACAGATGAAACCTGGTGACATTAACCAGAATTCCCCAGTAGGTGGCAGGATTGTCCTCTGCATGTCTTTCAGATTCCCAGCATTCGGGAACTTCATTCTTTTGGGAAGGAGAGGGGGTAGTCTGGAAGTTGAGATATTATGAGGACCCTCTTCCTATACTTCTCTTAGTTAGGAACACATAGGATTAGAGGACAGTCCCCATCCCATGCTTCTCTCTGTCTTAAAGTTTACAAGGGGAAGGAAGTAAATTTTTCCACTGGGGTTGGGTTGGGTAGCACAGGGTTGGAGAAGAATGTTAATTTTAAAGGCTTATGCACCAAAAGTCCTTAGCACTTTCCATGCTCAGTGCTTTATATTCATGATGTCTATTGGGGTAGGCTGTTTAGGGGTTTGTCTTTAAGACCAGGACATGTATGAGTCACATAGCAGATTAAATAGTTTCCTCCTAGCTTTGCTTTCTTTGCAACTCATATATTAGAACCTGAGCCTACAGAGTTCTTTAATTTTTTGAGATACTCCACTGTCCTGGCCCAGTCCTTGAAATGTTTTCACTGTCTGAATGCCACCCTCTGCTGAGAAAGTCTTGGGGAGGGAGAGTGTGGAGCATGGAATTCTAGCTGCTCAGGCCCTTTATATAGTCAGCCAAAACTGAATATAGAGACCCTTCTCTGATTCCCCTCACTTCACCCCCCAAACATAGACTCACATACCCTTTTCTCCACCCACAGTTTCAGTCTCACCATTGCCTGGGATTGTAGGTAGAGAAATTGAAGAAATGATCAGAGGTACCGGATGGAAAGAGAGAAAGAAAAAAGAAAGACCCATCCTTAAAGAAGTAGTTTAGAAACACAGCACGTTCCTGCCAAACAAATCCCCTGATTCGAAACTGGTGAAGGTGCAGTGGGAACAAAAGCGGTTTAATTTCAACCCAGCTGTTTTGTATTTTATTCCTAGATCCTTGCTTGTGTACTGGGGGATCTTTCATATTAACCTCCCAGGCTAAAGCACAGGGCAGCTGTGGAGAAGAAGGAAGCAGCCCGATCCAATCATTAAATGGGTGGTTTTTTTTCTTCTCTGTCCTCAGGGGAGGGGGGAAAGAGAAAGAGAGAGAGAATCTTTGTAAATAAGCAGATCATCCGGGAGAGCTGTGGTGTGAAATTGGGAACGCAGCAGGGGGAGCCAAGCCAGACCTCCCAAATGCCTCGGTGCCCCCCTCCTCCCCCCAAAAAAATCAGGCTTCCTGCAGCTATATTACAAACAACATAAAGAGGAATCTCTCCTCTTCAGAGGAGCCTTGAGAAGCAAGGTGTATCACAGCATGCTCCCCAGAAATTATTTGTTTAGAAAGCTATATATGGAAAAAAAGAAAAAGAAAGCTATGCATGTAGTAAAAGAGCAGATCAGCTTCTGGCCCAGGGAACCTAGTCTAAGATTGTTTGGAACAGGTATATGCCCCAGCAGTAGTGTTGGGTGTCCTTTGAGGGGTTCCTCTGAGAAGGTAAGATGAGCTTTTTGTCACAAAGACACAGACTGCTCCCAGGTGCCATCCCTGATCCAGTTTGCTGCCTCCTCAGTAGCCTTGCTATTCATTTGCAGTTTCTTTAATGATTAACCTTGTTCCCTCCTTTTCCATCTCCCTCCCTTTCTTCCTTCCTTTCTGTCCCTGTGTTCTCCCCACCCCTAACTGTACCCTTTTCTCTTCCCTTCTCTGCATTCCTCTCTACTGGTCCACAGCCAGTCTCAGCTCTGCAGCCCTCTCCGCAGCCTGTTCAATACTCTCCAAGCTCCTGTCCCCAAGTCCTTCTGCCAGTCTCTCCGCCCCAGCAGTACAATATGGTATACCCCATTTCCTTTTCTCATCCCTACCTGTATGTGAACACGTCTGTGTTAGTGTATTCGATTCTGTATTTATGTATATATTCATGTATGTGTATCTCCTTGATTAGCACAGGTTGTTTTCTGTCCATCAGGGTTGTTAAAAGCTGTGTCCTCTTGAGGATTTGATTTGGGCCAGGCTGCATGCCAGTGGCTGCAGCCTGACTCCTCTGTTATGAGACAGCTGCGTCTAGGACAGTGGGAAATGGGATTGGACCCCCTGAGCTGTATAAGAAAGGAAAGGGGATCTGACTCTGAAACAGCCTCCTCTAGCCATTATAATTTAATCTACCATTGTCTTATCTCCTCCTCTTCCTTCTTGCCACATCAAGAACTCCAGTGCCCATAGTGTCCCTTTCCTTTCTTTAGAGAGAAGACATAACAGCGTTTCTCTGGTAACTCTCCACTGAAGAACACAGTGCTTTTATGTCTTCTATCACTGTATTTGTGGTGAGGTACCAGAGAAATTTACCCAAGGTCAGTTAGTCAATATTAAGGCCCTGCTATATACCAGACAAATAGAAAACATGGATCTTGTTTCAGGGACCTTGCAGTCCAGTTTAGCTCCACTCCAAAGCACACAGAATTACTAAAGAATAAAGAACTTATTAATGAATACCATTGAATATAGTAGAAACTGAGCCCATAAGTTCAGAAGAGTCAGTAGAGGAATGTTAAGAAGGAACTTAGTCAATGAGATGCAGAATGAAACACATTTTTGACATGACCAATATTGGAATTTGTTAGCTGGGGGGGGTGGGGCGGGGTCAGTGAGGAAGGGATACAAAAATAAATACTTGATTACTGAAAAAGGTATTAGGGAAAGCTTCTTTGAAATAGTGAATTTGAAGTATTTGAAGGAGCATCTGGCTTGATGGAAAACTCATTAATAACTGAGCCAGAACTAGAACCCTAAAAATTAAATTCATAATTCTTGTCACTGCCTCACATTGTCTTTTCCTTTTACCTCATTCTCTGTTTATAGTTTTTAACTGAAGGTCATGGCTAGTGGGCCTGCCTAGGTTCCTCGGAACTCCCAGGTCCCTATTCCTGAGACTCTGGGGGTACCTACAGTAGACCAGCTCTCATCCTTCTTTCATTGCATGGTCAGCATCCCTGATTAAAGTGTTTTTTACACCAGTTGTCCACTAACCCTTTGAAGAGCTGGACCATCTGAGCACAATACCCAGTTTTCCCCATCTTGGTTATGGGGCTATACTGACCCTTATTTTAATCCCATATTTCTGCTTTTTCACCAGGATCCCCTCTGTTCTTCTACCTACCTCTTGTCCTCTACCTGCCTTCTGAAAAGTCCTGGGACGCAGACCTCAAAATATTGCACAGTCCCATCTTATCCTCTTGCCCATTTCCTCACAATGTGGCCTAAGGAGAGGAAGGTGGCAGGGAGAGTGAGACAACTGAGCTGAGGATCTGAAAAGTGGGAATGAGGGGGAGGGCATTGATGTTTGGTGTCCACTGATTTCTTCTGCAAAAGAACCCCTCCTGCTTTGTTCATTATCTAGCTCTGTGTGTATGTGTGTTCGTGTGTGTGTGTATTGTGTATGTCTGTCTCCAGTGAACAGAAGAGAAGAGAGAGCTAGCAGCCCCTAGCCTGTCACCATAATGAGAGCAGTAATACTATTGCTCTTGCTGCTTAGGGAAAAAGTCTCTGAGATGAGGTAATTATGGATTGGCCCCACCCCCACCTCAACCACTTGGTCTTGGCCTCCTTATGGAGGTGAGAATTGGAAGTGGCTTCTGAAGGGCAAGAAAGCTGGAGGCCAAAATCAGAAAACTGAGGTGGAAATGACCACTTGGAGAAGGGCAGCAGGGAATAGGTATCTAACAGCCCTTTCATGACGCTGGCTGGGCCAAGGTCAATGTGAAACTTCCATCACCTCCCCTTCAAGGAAGTGCTTTTAAAATCAAAAGGGAAGGAGGTGATGAGATGGTTTTAAAGATTACAACCTTTGTAGGTTATAATCTCTCAACTGTGTCAGTTGGTCTGATTTTTACCACACATGAAAGTCTCCAGTCCTCCCCCCATCCCTGTTTCTACTTGCTCTGCCATATTTATAGACCCTGTGGTTATTGTTGCCGGGTATTTAGTGGGAAGAGGAGCTCTAGGGTTGAGGGTTCTTAATATTATTTGCAAATATTTTTTTCTCAAACATCAGTTTTTCAGTTAAAAAGTTTAAAATATTTCCAGCCCTCATGAGAGAAACCAAGAGCTGGGGAGGGGAGCCATAGAAGCATAGAAATATGGTCCTTTACAAAGTCTGTAAAAGAAGGTAGGTAGAATAGGTTGCCTTGTGTGTGTATGTGTCTGTCTGTCTTTCTCTGAGCCAAGGAAGAAAGGCTTTGCTTGGCTTCACTCTCGGGGTCACCCCCTGTCTCCACAGACGGATGATCTCAGCAACCCCTTTGGGCAGATGAGCCTTAGTCGACAAGGTTCCGCTGAAGCAGCTGATCCGTCCTCAGCCCTGTTCCAGTCCCCACTTCTCTCCCAACACCCTCAACAACCTGGCTTCATTATGGCCTCCACAGGCCAGCCTCTCCCCACTTCCAACTACTCCACCTCCAGCCACGCTCCCCCAGCGCAACAAGTCCTGCAGCCTCAGGGCTACATGCAGCCCCCACAACAGGTAGGAAACTTTGAGTCCTAGTTTTGATCTCTTAGGCTGTTAACAGGATTAAAAAACTTTCCTTCATCGTACCTCTTTTCTTCTCCATTCCAGATAAACAGCCAAAAAGCTGTCAACATCCTAGTCTTTCTACATTGAAAGCATTCTGACAGGAAGTGCCTTATTGACATCTTTTGCTTTTAATATCAAAATTTTTCCCAGTATCCCTTTCCATCCCTGAGAGCCATCCCATAAACCTGCCATAATTTAAATCCATCTTTAGGCAGGAGGTTGACCAATTAGAGACACAAAGAACATAGCTATTTATAGATCTTTAGCTCCCAGTCCTAACACGTTGTGTATAATTGCTTGGGTTTAAAGTTCAGGGTTTTATTTGGTTTTTGTTTGCTTTGATAGGGGAAGGTTGGGGAGAAACTCTACTTATCCTCCTGTTTTCTCTTACTCTAGATACAGGTTTCTTACTACCCTTCTGGGCAGTATCCCAACTCCAACCAGCAATACCGACCTCTTTCTCACCCGGTGGCCTACAGCCCCCAACGTGGTCAACAGCTGCCTCAGCCATCTCAGCAGCCTGGTAAGAGGAACTTCCTGTGTAGGAAACACCAAGTACATAAAGGGAAGCTGAGAACGAGATGGATGCTGGGACAAGCTTAGCCCTTTCTCCCTCCAAATGTGCCAGAGCCAGATGAGTCCAAAGGAGGCATCAGGCCCTTTGAGGAGATGAAGCAATACAGTGCAGGGGAAGAGTTAGTGCCCAAAGTCAGGCACACTAACCCTAACCACCCCTTCTCGTTCTAGGGTTACAGCCCATAATGTCCAACCAGCAGCAGGCAGCTTACCAGGGCTTGATGGGTATCCAGCAGCCACAGAACCAAGGCCTTCTCAGCAACCAGAGGAGCAGCATGGGGGGCCAGATGCAAGGCCTAGTGGTCCAGTATACTCCGCTACCTTCATACCAAGTGGGTATTACTCTGGGGAAGAGGAGATACCTTATCTCCATTCCTCAGAGAGAAGTAAAAGTCTTTCCCAGGTCATCCCTGCTTAAAACTTCCTCATTAGTATGTTAAATATTCCTCAGCCCTTTTTACATCTTTATTTCAAGCTAAGACCTGGTCTCCCCTAGATAGTCTGTTAGAGTTGATTTAAATCCTTTTTTGTCTTTTCATTGCATAGGTATCTACAAATTATTAGGTGCTCCCAAAAAGTAGACAAGGAGTTCTGCTTCTCTCTTCTCTCTTCTCCTGGGTCAAGCTTTCATGTCACTTGTTGTCTCGGGGCGGGGTTGGGGATAGGGGAGGTGGAGAAGGTACCTTTCAGCATTTTCTGCCTACAGAAGAAGGGGTAGGTATTTCTAAATTTATTGATACTAAGGAGCAAGGAGGGGAAGATGTAGTTGTAGTCTTTTGCTCTCTGAATGTGTCCAAAGAGAACAAAGGAATTACAGTTAATCTCATCTCTCTCCAGGTTCCAGTGGGAAATGAGTCCCAAAATGTGGTCCAGCAGCCCTTTCAGCAACCTGTGCTGGTCCCTGCTAGCCAGTCAGTTCAGGGGGGCTTACCAGCAGGGAGCATGCCTGTGTACTACAGTGTGATCCCACCAGCACAGCAGAATGGCACAAGGTGGAAACCTTATGGGACAAGTTGGGGGTGGGGTGGGGGGCTATCATGGAATTGGTCAGGGAATGGGGCTAAATTCTTGAGAAGTACTCAGTCATCTCTTATTTCTTTATATTTGTTGGGATCAAAAGGAAAGATCACAAATGTGTAGGGTCCTACATTCTCTACCTGGGTCCAAAAGTAGTAGACATGGTTGAGTACCATTCTCTGTATCATAGGCCTTACCAGCAGAAAAGATCATGGAATTAGGCCTCAAGTCTCCAAAACTTCCAGCTTTATGCTCTCTCATTATCTATCTGCATATATTTCTCTATCTCTAGATGTTTGTATATGTATCTCCATCTTTCTTTCTCTACAAATGACTGTCAAAGTGAGACAATACATCACTAGACATATCTGTATGTCTGCAGCTCTCTGCATCCTGATGTCACTATGGTTTTATCGCTCCTTGCCCCTATGATTGGGTCTCTGAGTGTGGTGTTTCCAAGCTTCTGGGAAGAACATGTGTCACTACCATTCCATCTGTAGCACTGATTAGCAGCCTTCTAATTGAAAGATGATCAAGTACAAATATATATAATTAACTTTGAACTGATGAGTGATTTTAGAAATTGCATGGCAAATTGGTCTGGGGATAGCTTGGAGCTGCTGCTGCATCCCATAGGGGGAGGATCAGGGAATAGCAGCTGTTTGCCAGGAGCTGTGTTCCCCCTCCCCTATCATTTTTCTCTCTTCTGTCTCTCCAGTCCTTCAGTAGGGTTTCTGCAGCCCCCTGGCTCTGAGCAGTACCAGATGCCTCAGTCTCCTTCCCCCTGCAGCCCACCACAGATGCCACAACAGTACTCAGGTAAGACGGTGAGGCTGTCAGGTAAGAGGATGGACGAGGGGCGAGGGAGAAGAGGCGTACCACAGCCTTAGGCAACTGGAAGGGACAGAAGGCCTGTTTTAGAGAAGGAAGACTGCTTGGGGCTTCAGTGGCCCAGGACCTAGGCAAGTGGGGTTGGCTTCCCAAGGAGGAGGTATCAGGAGTCCTGTATCGCATTCAGGGATGTGAGGTAGAGATCAGTGTCCAGGCCAGAAAAGCTCCGTCTTTGATTAGTTTCCATATTTGACCCCTCTGAGCCTTAATTTCTTCATCTAAAATATGAGACTAATACTTAAACAACCATGCTTACAGTGAAGAAGGTATAAACTATAATGAGTAATGTGAATGTGAATTATGATTATTATTACTGTTGCTCCGGTAGTGCTTTGGTATGAAAAGTGGACACAGTCTTAGTTTATTCTTACCAGGTTACCCTCCTATTCTAATATGTCTTTGCCAAATGCTGTTCTTGAAGGAAAAAGAGACTTTTAAAATTGCTTACAAAGAAGTCCGTTTCCAGTCAGCTTCAGTAACAAATCCCCCCTCCCTCTCAGGACTCCTTCCCCCAATCACACCAAGCCCCACCTGTATGGGAGCTATAGAAAATGAGAAAGGGAACCCTCCTATTTCCTGCTGGAATGCAGGGAATCATCCCCAGTGTTCAGTTCATGCCTTGATGGACAGAAGTGATTGTGAGTGGCAGCAAGATGATGCTGTGGATAGAATGCTGGACCTGGAATCAGAAAGACTTGAGTTCAGATCCCACCTTACTATCTGTGTGACCCTGGGCAAGTCACTTCACTGTTTTCTGCTTCAGTTTCCTCATCTGTAAAATGGGATTAGTAATAATAGCAACCCCTGCCAGGGTTGTGAGGGTAAAATGAGATATTTGTAAAGCACTATATAAATGTTAGCTATTAGGCAGTCTATGGCCTACTCTGTGGCAAAGATGACCTCTCATGCTGAATAACTTAGCTTTGTTTTGTTCCCATTCTACCCTTATGTCTTCTGCTTCTGGAGAGAGGAAACTCAATGCCTGCCTTCCTATTTATTACATTTCATTTTAGGGATGTTAGAGTGCCCTCTTCTGGTGGTAGGGCAGCATCTTCACAGTTTCCCCATTTAGAATTGGGATATTTTTCATAGTCTTGTCGTCCCTGTCTCTCTTGGAACTATTTTATAGTAATGCATTGCCTTCCTCTACCTGTGCCTTGTCCAAATGAGCAGGGTTAGTTCCTGGTCTGAAATCTCAAATCCCCTAGTATTTTCCCCTTTTTATTTCTAGTCTTCACTAGCTGTTTCTCCTGAGTGTCAGCCAGGGGCATTTGGCCTCAAATTCCCCAGTGGGGTTATGGAAATTGGAAAAACCTGCTGTGGGAGCTACTGTAGCCTGTGGTGGTTCTTGGAACCTCGGGGCATTTCTTCTCCTCTTTGCTAACATTTGTGTGTATGCATACGAACACTCAAACACTCATGCATACCTGAATGTATGTCCTCTTGTGTATCTGTTAGCTATTGGTGTGAAGGGGTGTGTGTGTGTGGTGTATTTTAGAGTTAGAAACAAAATCATTCATTGATCAAGTATTTCTGAGTGCTTGCTATATTATATACTCCTAGAACTGAACTAGTGAGTGGCATCAGGGTAAGTCTAAGAGTTGGCAGGAAAAAAGAGACTTTAATTAAGGTTCTTCCAAACTCAGCTCGACAAAAACAGTCAACCCTTGGGGGAATTGATGGGGTGCCCCATTAGTTCTCTTGGGAATTCCTCAGTTGTGTCCTTTCCTTTCCCCAGTTGCCCAGATTCTACATTCCTGTTCACTTTGGCTGCTTACCAGATGGAAGAAGCTAGTCCATCTGTACCTACCACACCTCCAGAGACCTGCATTGTGGGTCTGCTATAGAATACCACTGATAGCTATCTCCATTTATTTTTAAAACAATGAATTCTGGGCATGGAACTTGTAGAGCAAGTGGAATTGCAGGCCCCAAAGTCATCTCCCTGCTCTTGGCCTCCTTGTTTCCTGAGTGTAGTAGTATAGTCACTTTTCAAAAAATAAAGTCAGAAACTAGGACTGAATGTATTTGAAACTTCTATCCTGGTTTGTTAGAGACATCAGAAATCTCACATTATTTCATGACTTAGGTCTTATAATCATCACCTCTTACCCCTTCCCCTGTCAGATATGAAAGTAACCTATAACTATGGAAATTTTCTCTGCTTTCCTTCCCTGAAGGATACCTTTGCAGGGATATCTCTCCTCCTGTAGCACTGTAACTGTAGAGGTAGGTGTGTAGGCACAGATACATAAACAGTATGACAACAGTGTGTTCATGCGGCAGCAGATAAACATGAGGAAGACACAAACACAAAAAAAAAAACACTCTCACATGCTCTTACTTTGTTACCAAGAATTTTCCAAAGCTGTGGGGTGGGTAGATCCCTACCGTCCTCCTCAATATATGCACACCAAAAATAAGCAGATGGGGGAGGCCTGGTCAGTATTGGTCTGGAGAGAGCCTCTGGGTCTAAGCAGGTTACATGGTGTTCTCTGCTATGAACTTAGTGTCTGGGGAAACCTTTTAGTCTCAGGGCTTTACCATCTTAGTGATTTCTTTTTGGAACCAATTTCACCAAACATAAATGTCGTCTGTTCGTATTTATGCAGCTTGCTCTGCCCCATCGACCTTTCTGCCCGAGTTTAATGATGCCACTTAAAAAGCCATTCACATGTCCTCTCTCCTATCAGGGCCTTCAATCTGAAATTGATTTCCTTATCCTCAACCCCCCCCCCCCAACACACACACACAAACACAGAGCTTCCCCTAGACCCCTTCTTCCAACTTGATTAGATCCTGTAGCTTGGCAGTAGGGTTTTTTTTTTTTATTGCTGTGTCCATTAAGAAGTAGCGACAGTTCAGCTGCTAACGGATGCCACCTGCTTTTGGCTTGAGGAGGGGAAGCATAAAAATCAGTTCATCAGCAGAGCTGGCCTCTGTGTCCTCGGCTGAGTGAAGGAACAATGCTTGGGGCTAGCAAGGGAGGACTGTGAGTGGGGGTGGGGGGAACACAGGACAGAGGCAGAGACTGAAAAGCTTGACTTTGTTTTTCTGGGAGATCGGGTGTGATATGCATCTGTTTTCTCCCTTCACAGCAATCTCGTCTTAAGTTGGTTGTGGGAAGAGCTCACTTCCATGTACTATTTCTTCCACCTTAAGAAAGACAGTCTCTCTCTCTCTCTCTCTCTCTCTCTCTCTCTCTCTCTCTCTCTCTCTCTCTCTGTCTGTCTGTCTCTGTCTCTCTCTGTCTCTGTCTCTCTGTCTGTCTCTCTCTGTCTCTGTCTCTGTCTCTGTCTCTGTCTCTCTCTCTCTCTCTCTCTCTCTCTCTCTCTCTCTCTTTCTTTCTCATTTGGCCTAGGGCATTTCAGCACAGATTATGAGCCGTCCTCCCAGAAAAGCCATAGATTTGATTCTTTGCCCTGGCCCCTAAGGTAGCAGTGGGATGTTTGAATAAGGTCAATTGCAATTTTGTTGGCAGGTGGAGGGTGGGGAAAAGAGAGTTTAGAATGGGATATGAAATACCTAAAGCTACTGTGGGGGGGGGTGGCAGTCATTATATGCACCACATCAGGCAATCCCATTTTTTCTCAAAACTGTACCCCTCTAAATCAGACAGATGGGTTCCCCTGTGTAGGAATCTAGGGGAGATACAAATCCATCACTGAGTAGTTTGGCTTTTTGTTTAGGTGAGCCTAGGAGGGTAAGGAGCATATTGGATCTTCATTGCTATATCTCCTGAGCTTTTCTGCTTGCCGCCCCCCCCATTCCTTTTCCTCTGTGTTTCCTTAAAACTACCCAAGAAACCATCACATTCCCTTCACAGCATGACTGGTGCCCGGGGCAGAGGCTTCGACAGTTTCCGTCATGGAGAAAGATGTTATGGCAAAAGCAGCAGCAGGCCCCAGAGCACTGAGCCATGATAATGGCAGTCTTATAACTCCTTTTTACTCCTTTCTTATCCTTCCCTCTCCTGGTAACAGCCCCCCGCCCCACACACACACACACACACACACACACACAAAACAGTTCGTCATGCCAGAGGGAGCTGGCCCTGAGAGGTCAGGGACAAGCCATTGCCCAGAACAGTCTCCTGCTAGGGGGCTAGGCTCCTGTAGATCCCTTGGCCATCCATACCAGCAGGGCCTGTCTGTCAGGCAGCCCCTCCCCTCTTTCAAGCTTCAGCCATGATAGGAATTATGAACCACTGTTCATGTTCCTTCTCATTATGTCAACTCCCTTCCCCCTCCCAAGATAATAAAGCCCCTGAGCTGCTTGAGATTCCACTTTTAAAAAAAGAAAACAAAATAAGATGCATCTGCCTTGGGGAAGCCATATTCATACAACCCCTCTGCTATTTCCAGAGACCACTGACCAATAACAGATAGCTTTTTTGGGCAAGGCGTTGTGTTAGGCACTGTGGGATATAAGGGGGGGGGTTGCTCTTATTGAGTTTCAAGTCAAATAGAAACAGTAGCTGACTATAATACAAAATGTCAAAGCAGCTGAAAGTTCAGAGTGGGGAGAATTATTTCCAGTTGATGTCTTTGGACATTTTCAGAGTTCCTGAAGGCCCTGACAGTGTCTACCATCCTGGCCTCATGCTGCCTGTTGAGGCTGGAGCACTGTGATTCAGACAGTCCTATCACTCCGCTGTGTTTCAGTGGAGCCTTTCTCTCCTTGGACTACTGAGGTGCTCCTTATCAGCACAGGTTCAGCATCTAGAAGGAAAGAGGGTTTCAGAAACAGTCAGCTTTATCTTATGTCTCCCAGCAGAACAGTAGATGAGTTACCGTGGGGCTGGTAGATGGCTCTCTTCATTGGTTTTGTCACATGGTGCTCAGCTAGGAGGGCCAGTCAAGAGCTTGTGCTCAGTGGTCCATTGTTTTCCTCATCTCAGGAGTGTCCCCATCTGGACCAGGTGTGGTAGTCATGCAGCTGAATGTCCCCAGTGTTCCCAATGGTTCCCAGGCCCCACAGACCCCATCTATGGTTCAGTGGAGTCACTGTAAGTACTACAGTATGGACCAGCGGGGGCAGAAGCCGGGAGACCTGTACAACCCTGAGAACAGCCCCCAGGTGAGCTCCCAGCCCAGCCTCATGGGGGAGGGAGGCTGGGGCGCCTGTGCTGGCGGTAGTACCCATCAGCATGTGGGGGCAGCTGTGAAGGGGAGGTTGGGCATAAGCACTTTAAAAGCAATATTCGGGTATCTCCACCATAAAGGCACAAAATCCTGGTGTGACCTTTGGACCATTCAGATATTTTAACATTTTGTTCCTGTGAAACTAAGTACAGCAGCCCAGCACAGTATAAGAGCTTGGGTATGGAGTCACAGGTCCTGGATTCAGAACCCTGCTTTACTGCTCTATGCTGTCTGTATAACCTCAAACCAATCACCCTCTCTGTGTCACAGTTTCCTCATCTGCAAAATAAAAAGTTTGGACTAGATGACTTTTAAGTATGTGAGTCTATGACAATTTAAACTAAAATGTTTTCATAAGACCAGTTAATAACATTAGGCGGCATGTGCTTGTATCAACCAGTAGAAATCAATGTAACCTAAATTGATTGCCTGAATGCTTAGGAGCTATAGAGTAGAATCATATTCAGACTTTTGGGTAGGTAGGGTGAGATAGGAAGTCAGGGACTTCCTATCTGGAGATAGTTTTGAGCCAGTCCTAGAAGCAAGGTTTGATTTTTGACCAGTGTGTGACATGCTTTTCTTTCCCCTACAGGCCAACACACAGATGAATAGCCCTATCACATCACCCACTCAGTCCCCAACCCCATCTCCCGTCACCAGCCTCAGCAGCGTCTGCACAGGACTTAGCCCTCTTCCTGTCCTTACACAGTTCCCCCGGCCTGTTGGCCCTGCCCAGGGTAAGAACAGGAACAGGGTGCCTAATTCAGTTCTCATTTTCACCTTGCTCATAGGATATGAGGTAGGAGGCAGAATATAGTGAAAAGAGCATTGGGTTTGGAGTCAGAGGATGGGGGTTTGAATCTCAGCATTGTTTCTTACCACCGATAGGACTTTGGGCAGGTCACTTATTTTTTGCACCTTGGTTTCCTTATTTATAAAATGAGGGCAGTGAACTTAGAGATCCCTTCCAGCTCTAAATCTCTGATCCTGGGATAATAGCATCTCCCATGTAGACCTGGAACTTACCCTGGGCCCAGTGCTGCTTTTCCTCTTCACTTCCCCCCTCTGCTCCCATTTAACTCACCTTGACCCTGGCACAGAGGGTTCCTCAGAGTTACTTAGATTTCCTGTAGCTAAGAGTTCCTGTAGCTATTTAGTGCCTAGTCATCAACATGTACCATGGGGTCATTGGCTAGAGGATGGGATAAGGAAGTTTAATGGACTTAGAAACAACAAAAAAGTACTTTTTACCTGGGAATGTGAGGAATGTTACCCTCTCATTTCTCAGACTATCACACTGACCTTCGTGGACTAGAAGAATGTACCCCACAAGGAGTTTATGTGAGGGAAGGGATACAAAGGGGATTGGTGATGTCCCCTTTACAGCTCAGTTTCTTTCCTGGGCTCTTTTACCTTCCCCCTCTCCCAATAAAGAGAATCCTTCCGTTGGAGAGCCAACTGATTCCATGTTAGTTACCATGAATTCTCAGTGAAATACCATTGAGAGCAGAGAGAATTTGGAGGGAATGGCTAGCTCTAAAAATCAGGCTACTGTGGGGTCAGTATTGTTGGCACCTACTTTGTCCAAATTCTTTGAATTTCCCTGGAAGCCACACCAAATGTTATCTTTTGTCCTTTAAACCTTCAGAAAACTTGCTTTTCCTACCCTCTAGGTGATGGGCGCTACTCCCTCCTGGGCCAGCCATTACAGTACAATCTGTCCATCTGTCCTCCTCTGCTCCATGGCCAGTCGACTTACACAGCACACCAGGTAAGTGTGCTTCTCTCCCCTGTGCCCTTCCACTCTCTTTTATAGTCCTTAACGTTTCCCATTCTGGTGCTTTGCTCCTGGTTACCAGCCTCCACCAGCTTATCTGTGGTTAAGGGCAACAAGTTTGGATGGGATCTTTGGATTTGGGGTGATTTGGGGGAGTAGAAGGCCTTGCTACCTGCTCTGATGCTCAACTCTCCACTTCTCAGGAATTACTACTTGGCCAGTCTGACTTAACTGCTAGGGTTCACGGAAGGTCCTCAGAGTTGGGTTACTATTCTTTTGACCCCTTTCAGTGGCCCAGAAGACACTGGGAGGGTAAGGAAACAGCTACTTACCTGAAATGTAAGCGGGCTTTTTAATGTTGAAGGGACAGACTGGAATGAAGCATGGAAACCGGGGGAAGAGGCAGGCACTCAAATCTGCCTCCACGGACCTGGAGACTGCAGATGTTGGTGAGTGTCTGTATGCTGGGAAAGGGCACCCTAGCCACCCCGACCATCCTTGTGAGCCCAGTGAGGGGGAATAGACTCCAGTAGCAAGGGAGGTGGGAGGGCAGTATCTATAGTGATGGTAACCTTCTGTGTCCAGGGTCAAGGAGGAGACAAAGGAGAGATGGAATGTTTTGGTTTCACTCTTTACCTAGCTGCCCCAGCTGCCAGGAAAGGTGCTGGTATTGGCCAAGGCTAATGTTAGCAAAAAAAATCTTCTGAGGTACAACCCTGCCCACACCTTTGGATAGTAAGGAGGCTGGAGGTGGGGAAAAATCAGTGGAGAGTTTTGGAGAATGGCAGGATTTAGGGCCTGGTTTCCCAACTTGGAGCAGTTTAGCAGATTTATGAAGGGAACCAAGTGTCCAAAGTGTTGGGAAGAAAAATCTTTTGAAAACAGTTCCCTGGGCAGGGCAAGGAGGATTCTGTCCAGCAGATTAAAGGTTGAAAACCTGTCTGTTGATATCATCCTTTAAGAACAGCTAGTGTATGTTGACATGTATAGACTGTCTGTCTCTACCCCAAATAGGCCCAGATTGTTATAAATACGTTTAAAAAGAAACACTAGTATACCTAAGCTTCCTTCAAGACAGGGTCACCCAAGGAAAGGCATAGGTTCCCAGGCCAGTCCATACCTAGTTAATCTTGATGATCCTTTTGTCTCACACATATCTGGGAGGAAAAGGTTAATTTGTTTTTATTTATTTACTTATTTTTGCTGCCCTAAGTCAGAGGCTGGGGAGAGAGGATGAAGTGAGGGTGGAAGGGTAGATAGGGAGGTTGGGTGGGAATAGAGATGGGGGGAGGTGGGGCTTGTAGGAACAGTGTGTATGGACTTGGTCAGTTGGATCCTTCTCTGCCAGGACACTGTCCAGTCCCCGCCTTCTCCTACCCCTTCCACCCCTCACAGCCACATCCTCTCTCCCCCTTCCAGTCCTGGGGCAGGTGTTGAAGGTGACAGATCTCCCTAAGGGCAGCACCCGTGCAGAGGCCGACAAACTCTTCACGCAGTTTGCCATGTCTGGCGCCAAGATCCGATGGCTCAAGGACGCTCAGGGGCTTCCAGGCGGCGGGGGCGGGGGCAGTGGGGGGGGGGGGGGACAACAACGGGACTGCTGAGAATGGCCGGCACACAGACCTCGCTGCCTTATACACCATCGTGGCTGTGTTCCCCAGCCCCTGGTGGCCCAGAATGCCTCCCTCCGCCTCAACAACTCTGTGAGTCACTTCAAACTTCGAGTGGCCAAAAAGAACTAGGACCTGAGGATCCTGGAGCGGGTCAGCCCCTCATAGGCAGAGGAGAGAAAGAGGCCAGCACCACGGGGGGCAGGGTGGCATGGGCAAGGGAAACAGAAAAAGCACAGAGATGCTGATCCAGACATGAAACATACATGAAACTAGGGAGAGGAGATATAGAAATGGAGACTGAGACCATAGAGACATTGAGACAGGGTGTACACACACACACACACACACACACACACACACACACACACACACACACACACACACACGCACTGGACTCAGTCTGCAGTTTTCTTTGCCACCTTTTCCCTCTCTTTCTCTGGTTGGCTTCTCTCCTCTCTGCCTTCCTCTCCCTCCAATCCTCTCTCTCCTTTTTTGGACATCTCTTTTTCCCCATCTTGGTCCCCAATGCATTTCTTTCATTTTTTGGTCCTACACTTCTCCATTCCTCCCTTTCTCCTGCCACCCTATCTCCTCTTCCTATTTTTGGTCTTTATGAATATATTTATATGGACAGAATTAAGAAGAAAAAAAATTGATTACTCCCCTCCTTTCACTTTCCTGCATCTTGTCTTCCCTATCCCATGAGTTAAAACCTGTACCTACCCCTCCTCTATCCACCCCAGCCCCCCCCCAACACTTGTATATTGTTTGTTTGAGGTTCCTGCGGCAGTAACACAGTATTTAATTGCACATACAGATGTTTACTGGGTATGTTCACTGTAAATGTTATTTAATCTGGGTGTTTTTTGTTTGTTTGGGGGTTGTTTGGGGGGTATTTTATTTTATTTTTGTTTTGTTTTTAAATATAAAAAAAAAATCATCTGTCACTGGACATTAGTCCTGGTTTCTCTGTTACTGCCCTTGGGAGGGGGTTGCAGGGAAGGATTTGGGATAGAGTGGAGTGGGGCTGCCTTCCAAATGTGTGTAGTCCTGCCACCCTCTTTCAGTCTCCCCTCAATCCTCCACCTGTTCCTGTAGGTGGCTGAACCTTCGGCTTCAAGCCCCGATAGGGCAGGTATGGAGTGAGGACGTGAACAAAGCTGAGTTTCTGGCCCAGCCCCCATCTATCACTTTCCCTCTGAGGTCTTTTTTAATTCTGTGCTGGCAGGTAATAGGAGAGTACGTGTTCCCTGCAATAAAAGCTGCATTTGCAGAACCTGCAGTATTTTGACTCCCTCAATCAGCCAGGATAGTCTCAGCATCCCCTTTCCTACATACAGGAGATAGAAAAGTCATAATTAATGAATTAGCCCTATGCTATATCCCCAGGTACCCCTCTTTTGGCCCTTGTGCCTCTCAGTAAATATCACTCTCCTCAGGTTGCCCTCGGTTCTAAGATGTCTAAGAACCCAGATGCCTAGAAGTAGATCCACCTTCAAGTCCATCCTATACAAAACCTCACTGCTCAGAAGCTTATTGGTGATCTTGGACTGGATACCATGTAGGAGGGAGTAGAAATGAATGGGCTTGAGCATATGTTAAGTCAGCAATTTCACTTGGGGCTGGGTAACTTCTCAATTGGGTTTTTTCCTGACCCCTCCTCCAGTCTAATCCAGCTGTTAGAGGGTCTTCGATATGTTGGAATTGGTGAGGCAATATGTTGTCCTTAACAACTCGTTCTCTGCTGTGGTAGGAGTATCTCCTCATCAAGCTGTACCCAAACTAATAGAAGAAGGATGGCTCGGTGCAGTGGAAAGAGCCCTGGACTTGAAGTCAGAGGCCCTGGGTTAGAGTCCCAGCTCTGCTAGCTCTGTTACTGCCTGGATGACCTTGGGCAAGTCATAAGGTTTCTTGGTATCCATGACCTCATCTGTAAAATGAAGAGGTCAAACTAGACGACCTTTCAGGTCTCTTCCAGTTTTAGAAATCTGTTACCCTATGATCCTGTGAAATTCATTTCAGGTACAAATTGGCCATATTTGTTAAGTCCACCTTCTGGGGCATTCCAGTGTGGGGGAGGGGGAATCAGGATGTTGAGAATTATCAGAGAGAGAGGGAATGGGAGGGCGGTCTTCTTGACTCACATGGTGGGAGGGGCAGGAAACAGAGGCTATGATGGTTATGATGACATTTTCTTAAGTAGCTGAAACCATCTCTCCATTGCTATTTGTTATAAATAAGTAGACATCTCCTCCTTTCCCCTATTCCCCACTGTTTTTGTCTGGTCAGTGGGTTGTTGATATTCTTAGTTCCTTTTCTACATATAGATCCCAGACCACTTTCAGTGAGCCAATCATATTCGGTCTCCCTGACAGCATAGTTGGGGTGGGAAGCTGAGTAGAATGTCCAGAGATGATTCAAGAAATAGGGACCATATTAGATTGTCCGATTCTTTGCAAGACAGGTAAGCTGTCCCCTTCCCCTCACCAGGGATGAGGAAGCAGCCATGTCTGGTGGAGAAGTAATCCTGCAGAACTTGAATTGTCTTTCTCTATCCGTCTCCCCAGTTCTCAGCCTAGAATTACACCTGCCTGAAGTGTTCGTAAAGACACAAAAAACCACACTTGATATATTTAAAATGTAGGTGTCCTACAAATATTGGGGAAGGATAATGTGAATAGGTGGAGTTGAAGCCAGCAGCCTATGGCTGGGGTGGGTCTGGAATAGACTGGTAATGAGGGTAGTATTTAGTTTTCAAAGTAGAGGAGGGGCACATTGTAGCCTTTCTTTACTACAGTCAGCCTTCCAAAATCCCCCATAAAGGGGCACAAAATATGAGTGGATTGCCCTGTAACTGTTTAGCTACTACTATACTGAACATAGGTGAAGGGGTGGGGATAGGGCCAGCTGTTATCTCAGCCAGTTGTGGCTAAAGAGATTTGGGAGAGGGAGGGCAGGGTCCAACACTGCCCCAGGCCTTTTAGTTTCCAATTTCTCTGTGTCAGCTGTGTTGCTCAGCTGTCCACTCTCCTCTAGCCCTGTCACTTAAGCTGTGACGCTGCAGGGAGAGGCTAGGTCTGCACACGCCAGCTGGGGAGACGTGAGCAACAAGGGTATTTTGGGGGTATAAAGCCCCCCAGGCAAGAGGACAGAGCCTTCTTTTTCCATTCCCATCCAACACCACCACAAAGCCTCCTAACCTGGCATCCTCTTTCCTCCACTGTGGACCTACGTAGGGAATCCCAAACGTAAGTTGCCTTTTCCTACTAGTTATCAGACATTGGCTGCTTGGGCTCCCACACCCCTCAGTCAGTTCACCTCTCCCATTTGCCTCACTTGGCTGTTCAGTAGTTTGGGGTGTTCCCGTCATTTCTTTCCCTGAAGAAAGGGTCGGGATCAGGAAAGAGGTTGGGGAGTTAATGTCTGGGGAATAGAGTAGTAGAGAAGGGAGGTCATATTACATTGAAAACTTAAAAATAGCCAACCCCCAAGGCAGGCTGGGACAGGGCCTGCCCTGGAGGTAGTGTTAAAAACCCACTCCCACTCCCAGGCTTAGAGAGATGAGAGGAACTGGAGTCCTCTACCTCTCTACTCCAAAGTGAGTTTTCGGGAGGAGGGAGAGGTTACATGGGGTCATATATTACTGCCTGTAACCTTGAAGAAAAGAGAAAGCCTCTAGGAATCTCCAACCCACCCCAAAATGAGAGGTCTGGCTTGATGGAACTTCTGCAAGGGAATGAGGATAGTCTTTGTGTAGGCCATCTTCTGTAGGCCTACCTTAGTCATCTCCCAGGCTGGGCCCTTTTATGGAGTCTCCTTGTTTAGTCTCTCATTCTGGAAGAGGGGGATAGAGACCCTCTTTGTGTGTCTCTCAGCTTAAGAGACCTGCAGTTCTCTTCCCAAAGCTCTATTTGTCCTACCCTATAAGGTGAGTCCCTAGAAGTAAGAAAGGGAGGGGGGAGGGGAGGCAAGGAAGGATGAAGAGTCTACAGTGGGAACCCCGATCTTGCAGGATGACAGAAAAAGAGGTTCTGGATTCTCCCAAATCCTTCACAGCAGAAACACCAAAGAGTGGGGTGAGTCTAAGCCTCTGACACAGGGCACTTTACAGCCTTTTGGGAAGAGTACCTGAATTGATGGCTACAGAGCCAGGGGTTGTGGGGCCCCTCTCAGTTAACATGTAATTTATTTAAGGTACAGTCGTCCCTGTCCCCCCACCCTACCCCCCGCTCCCCACACTCTCCCTCATCCCTCTAGGGAATATCCTTTCCCTTGACCCAGAACGTTTCCCAGGTGGTTTTAGCCTAACAAAGTGGAGCTGTTGCCTGAATCTTCCCTCTGCTCCTCTCTAGCTACAAAGGCTGAAGCAATTATTCAGGAAGGAGACTGTAGAAAGAAAGGAGATGGAGCTCCCCCCTGAGCCCCAGGCCAATGGGGAAGCAGTAGGGGCTCAAGGGGGACCCATCTACTACATCTATGAGGAAGAAGAAGAGGAAGAAGAGGAGGAAGAGAAGGAGCCACCCCCTGAACCCCCTAAGCCTGTCAATGACAAGCCCCACAAGTTCAAAGATCATTTCTTCAAGAAGCCCAAATTCTGTGATGTCTGTGCCAGAATGATTGTTCGTGAGTCTGGAAAATGGAGGGAGGTGGGATGTGTAGAGCATCATGGGACTGTGGATTGAAGGGACTGGGAGAGACAGATCAGTACTGCACAAATTTAGATGGAAGTGGGGACTGTCGACGGATGTAGTAGAGCAGCCTGGATAGGTGATCTAAAAAATGAGAGAAGAGTCACTAGGGAATGGGGTGATTCTGGCCGCAGAGGAGTAGAACAAGGTTTCGTGATCTTACCCAAGTGTTCTTTCCCTCTACCAAGTTAACAACAAATTTGGGCTACGATGCAAGAACTGCAAAACCAGTATCCATGAACACTGCCAGTCCTTTGTGGAGATGCAGAGATGCTTTGGCAAGATAGTGAGTTAGGTCTGGGAACACAGGGGTGGGGTGGGGGTGGGGGGTGTTGAGAATAGCTGTGCCCTGGATGAATACTTTAGGAGTTATCCCCAGTTGTTCCTTGGTACCTGCTTCCCCAGTTCTACTCTTACAGGACAGGATCTCCCTCAATAAAGGAGGAAGGCTCCCAGTTGGAGAAATGGGGCTCTTGGGTCCAGTCTCTTTGTCTCAGTCACCTTCCTGTCTCACCCACAGCCCCCTGGTTTCCGACGCGCCTACAGTTCTCCACTTTATAGTGACCAGCAGTATGCTTGTGTCAAGGACCTCCTCTGTAAGTTCCTTTCACTCCTCCAACCCCAGCTGGGTTGCAGTAGTGTGATTGAGGGAAATAGGCCAGGGATTGATTGTTTTCTGCAGTCTGGAAGCCTCTTGGTCACCATGACTGTACCACTTCTGACTTGGGAAACTGAAACTTAAGACTTTGAAGTCTCTTGGTGCCGGAATTCTAGATACCCTGGTTTTATTCTCATCTTGAAATTTTTAGCCACTCCAGCTTGTAAGCTCCTGGAAGGAATTCACACTTATCTTGACTAATAGCCCTGTTTCTTCTAGGTTTGTCTCCCTGAGTTCTAAATAGAAAGTAAGGCTTCTCATCTCCACCCCCCCCTTAGATTCTCAGACCTTGTTCTTCCCCATCTGTATCCACTCAATCCTGCTGTCTTCTACAAAAGAGGACCCTCTTTTCCAATAAGTCCTTCCTTAACATCAGTAATGTTTCCTTTTCTTTCCTATGCCCCCTGTACTCCTAGCCAACCGAAATGACCCTGTTTTTGAAACACTTCGAACTGGAGTGATCATGGCAAACAAAGAGCGGAAGAAGGGACAAGCAGACAAGAAGAATGTGAGCCCCTTATGCCCCTTTCATAATTGAAACCCCACCTCCCCAAGAGACCTTGAGACCTCCCAAGATTGTCCTTCAGAATATCATCATTCCCAGGAACACCTAATAATAAAAATAACAGCTAGCATTTCTATAGTGCTTTAAGGTTTGCAAAACCCTTTATAAATCTCATTTTATCCCCACAGCATCCCTGGAAGGTAGATGATAGTGTTACTACCCCAGTTTTAAAGATGAAGAAACAAAGGCAGGCAAAGGTTAAGAGACTTGCCAGGGTCACATAGCTAAGTAAGTTCCGGAGGTCACATTTGACCTCAGATTTTCCTGACTGTGCAGCAAGCTATTCTAGATTCTCCAGATTATCCCTTAGAACTTCCCTAGGGGACTAGAACCACCTCTGGGACTCCAGTTGGGGGAAAGACGACAGTAGTTGGGCATTATGGTGAGGTTATCAGGTAGGATGCTTTTAAGAAAAGGGAAATTCATTGCTGCTAAACTAACCTTGTTTCACTTTCCGATAAAGTCACTGGACCAATAGATCAGGAAAATGTTAGTTGTGCCTTGACTTCAGCAGAGCATTGCTGAATGCTCTAAAAAGCATACTCTGAAGTGCCCAGGTGCTCTGTCTTAGGCCTTGCCCTGTATAACTTGTTTATCAAGTTTGTGTATGACATGAATTAGGGACAGATAACTAATATGCTAGCTGACAGAATTACGATTTAAAAACATCTTTTAGAACTGAAAAGATAGGCAGAAACTAACAAGATGAAACAAATAGGAATAAATGTACCTTGGGTTACTTCTTTTATATTACCTTGGTCCTATTCCTTTCCTATTTTGCCTCATTCGAAGGTTCCACAGAAAAGGAGAGACCATAAAAGAAGAGATTTTTTTTATTAGAGCCTAGATAAGCCAAGTGCACATTTTGTCAAGTGGAAGTTAGGTGGTGCAGTGAATTGGACCTGGTAGGCCAGAGGTCAAATCCTGGCTCAGACACTGTGACCCTGGGGAAATTACTTACCCTCCCAGGCTCAGTTTCCTCTTCTGTAAAATGGGGTTAATAATAGCACCTACCTCACAGGGTTGTTTTGAGGATAAAATGTGTTAACATGTAAAGCCCTTTGCAGACCTTAAAGTACTATATAAATGCTAGCTGCTGTTATTATTAAGGGGACTTGAAGCCATTTCATATGAGGAGCAATTGTTTAGAAAGGACAAGGCCTAATTAATTGAAGTATAATCATTGTCTTCAGATGTTCAAGGGACTGTCCTATGGAAGATGGACTTGTTCTACCTAGTTCCAAAAGACAGAACTAGAATTGTGAATGAATGAAAAGCATTTGTTAAGTATTTACTATGTGTCAGGCATTGTGCTAAGTGCAATATAAAATTGAGACAGTCCCTGCACTCAAGTAGTTTATATTCTAATTAGGGAGACAACACATTTAGGGGGGTAGGGGTCAGGGAAGGGAGTTATGGTTCTGGAAGTCACAAAGATGGTTAATAGAACAACAGGGCAGGCAGATAACACCCTTTCCAGAGGCTATGGTGGTAATGATTTGATTACAGTTCTCGGAGAAAGAGGTGGAAAGGGAGGTTATTTGCTCAGAGGCAGGGCACAAATGGCCAGGGTGAAGATGAAGGCTGTGCGCACAGCCTTCATCTTCACCCCGGCCGTCTGACCTAGTTCCTCCCAGGCATGGCCCTTGGTCAGCTTTGGAGAGTGGAACAGGAGCAGCAATAGCAACTTTAGTTCATCTCATGTTTGTTAATGAGTGCCAAAAGCCCAATGTCTACTGGGGATACAAAAATGGAAGATGACACGGTCCCTGCCCTCCAGAAGCTAACATTTCTATACTAGGGAGCAAACAAACATGCAAGCAAATAGGCAGAAAAAGACTTGCTCACGGGAGTGATGTGATTAGATCTGTAAATTAGAATGTATGTTCTCTGTCTTAGGGAGTTGCAGGGAAGGAGATTTTGGCTCATTAGTAGGAAAAACTTTTCAACAGTTAGAAGCAGTCCACATTTGAATGGGCTGCCCTCACAAAATAACCTTGTGATTGGAAATATTAAAGGAGAGATTGAATATCCTGTCGAGGGTGTAGAGATTTCTGCATTGCATAGGACATTGCACTGGATGACCTCTCAATTTCTCCCCAAACCTGGGTTTTAGGTTAAGGACGAAGGGAAAGATCTCCCTTCATACACTCCTTAAGGACTCCCTTCATACACTCCTTAACTCTGGGGCTTTCTTTCTTTAGCCCCTAGCAGCCATGATGGAGGAGGAGCCAGAAGCCCCTAAAACTGAGGAAGGAAAACCCCAGGCTGGTGAGTAAAACCCTGCCTCCCATAGGGTTGGGTTTGAGCAGGGATGGTGTAATAGCTTGGACCAGGTTGTTGGTACTGTAGGTAAGAAAAGGGGCAGCCAAGCAGAGTTGGAAGAGACACTTAAGTTAGCAATAAAGTTGAAAGGATGATGCTCTCCTGGACTCAAGATGTCTGTCCCCAACTTCAGGAAATACAGAGGGAGACAAGAAGACTGACAAAAAGACAGCTGAGGATAAAGTAAGGATTTTTCTCCATCTCTTCTCAACTAGTCCTGCTCTCTTCCTAAGTGCTCTCTTACCCCTCATTCCTCCCACCTCATCCATAATGATTAGTCCATACTCCACTGGCTCTGATGATGACATTCCCTAATTATCCCCACTTACATCCTGCCCCCACTCTCTGACATACATAACTCCAAGACTGGAGGTTTTGTGATAAGTTAAAATGTTAACAGCTTTGTTGGGGGATATCCCTGGTTTGGAGTCCTTATCATTTGTATTAAAATAGCCCTGGATTCAATAGGATTGAAATTCATTACATCCTTCTGTCCTGTGCTCCCCAGAACAAGCAGCCTGGATTCCAGCAGTCTCACTACTTTGTGGCCCTCTATCGGTTCAAGGCTTTGGAAAAGGATGATCTGGACTTCCCGTGAGGGCAGAGGAGGGGAGAGAGGAAACAGTAGATATTTATATGCAAGGGAGGAGGGGGAGCTCAGGGGTGGAATTCAGTCATCATCCCAAACCTGCAAGGTGTAGCTTTTGGGATGGAGGACAAAAGAATGTCTTTTTGGGTGCTGTGTATATAAGTGGAAAAGTCCATTATCTTAACAATCTTTTCTGGTCTATTCTAGACCTGGAGAGAAGATCACAGTCATCGATGATTCTAATGAGGAGTGGTGGCGGGTGAGAGAGGGGACAGAGACTGGGCTAGAGTTATGTAGGGTGGGGCTGTTTTACCTTCTGTCTCTTGCCTACTTCCAGGGGTTATAGATCAGGATCTGACCCATCTACCCCTTTTCCCACTGCTTCTTATCCTTCTCCTCAGGGCAAAATCGGGGAGAAGATTGGATTTTTTCCCCAAAACTTCATCATCCGAGTCAGGGCTGGTGAACGTGTGCACCGGGTGACTCGATCCTTTGTGGGAAACCGTGAAATTGGGCAGATAACACTCAAGAAGGACCAGGTGACCCTCCCTTAACCCAACTACTACCATCCTATCCTTTCTCCGACAGTTGCCTGTTAGCCCAGAACCCTTCCAATTTGGGAATCCCTGGGAATCCTGACTCCTGAAGTATCTTGTTCTGTTCCTAATCCCAAATCCTAATCCCCTTCTCTGTCCCTCTTCCAGATTGTGGTGCAGAAAGGGGACGAAGCTGGTGGCTATGTCAAAGTCTACACTGGTCGAAAGGTGGGGCTATTTCCCACTGACTTCCTAGAGGAAATTTAGGGGTGCAGGTGCCCCAATCAATCCAGGATCATATTATTCAGTGCCTACTATGTACCAGGCACTGTGTGATTTACAAAGACAAAAACAAAACAATCCCTGCCCTCAAGGAGCTTACATTCTCTTTAGGAGACAACACTTTCTTACTCCACTTTGGGCTGAATTGTGGGGAGGAGTGGCAGTTAGGGCAGCTCAGTTCTAGCTGGGGTTATATTCTAAGAGGGCTGGTTCCCCCTTAAACTCACCTCCCTAGTGTGAGACTTGCAGTACTGGGCATGCAGGAACACCTGCCCCTCAAGAGAACACTCTCCCTGCTTCTTCCCTGAACTTACACACTGACCATTGATCTTGGGAAGGAGTAGGAAAGGCCTCCTTTAGGTCTTCATAGGTGGGGAGGGGGGAGCCCAGGAGACTAAGTTGTAGGCAGAGCCCTTAGCTCATTAAAGTTTTGTGGGAAAAGGGTTGGAAAACATTTGTTTCTTTAAATTTAGGATCTTTTTTCTCTTTTTTAAATCTTTGTTACAAGGCAAGACTTGCCTGAAAGGGGGGATAGGAATCTATTCAGAAATGAAGTTGTTGTAAAAACAATGAATTAAAAACAATTTTCAAAAATTTGAACTGGCAGCTTAAAAAATAAATTTGAGAATTATAGTAGCTGGACAGCTACTATATCCTAGCTCTCTCCTAGGTGACTGGGTAGGGAATAAAGAGAAGCATCAGGCAGGGTCTCTGCCCTCCCAGGCAGTCCAGTCCAGCAGGAGATTAAAAAGTTAAATAATGCCTCAGAGTTGGCCGCATGAGTGAATGCATCATGCTTTTTTTTTTTAATTGGGAAGGAGTGTAGGGGATTGGGGGTGTTGTAGCTAAGTAACCCGCTCCCCTAGAACCAAGGAGGCCACGGGGTCGGGGAGCAGGACCGCTGTGTTTCACCAGCGAAGGGGGAAAGGGTCCCGGGCCGTGCGATTTAGGGGTTTCAGAGACACACTAGCGGGGTGGCGTTCAGGGTCCGCCCGGCTCCTTAGGTCAGTCGGGGCTAAGGCCCAGGAGAGGCCGCCAGGGGGAGGTAGAAGATCTCAGAAGGCGAGAGTGAGAGTGAGTGTGTGTGTGGGTGTGTACGTACGTACGTGTGGGGGGTGGAGAGGGAGACATACTGTGCAGAAACCACGGGTGAGTGTGAGTGTGTATGTGTGTAAGGGGGGGTGCTGTTTCCATAGCAACAGCAACGTGCGTCCTGAGAGGAGAACGGAGCTTGGCTGGGGGCAGATGGAGGGCGGATTTGGGAGTGGGGGCCTCCTGCTCCCTACCCCGAAAGCTTCCGGGAGAGGGACAGAGAGGTGAGAGAATGTGTGTGTGTGTGTGTCTGAGTGCGTGCGCGCGTGTGCACTCCTAGTCCGAGCCCCTCTCCTGTGGTGTGGTGTATGCAAATGTTGTGATTTACATATGCAAATATGCAAATACGCCAGGCCGGGTCACAGCGGCAGGTGGCAGGGACTGAGAAGGTAAGAGGAGGGAGAGTATAAAGGGACAGTAATTTTAATTTGGGGCTAGGAATGGCTGGAGAGAGAATACTGAGGTAGGCTTCAGAGTATGGTGAGGGAGAAGTCTCAGTCCTAAGAAGAAAGGTGTGGGTCTGCCTGAGACACTTTTTCTGCCCAGCCTCTGTTAGGCCTGAGGTTGGCACCGCTTGGCAAAGTTGGCAGCGAGAGCCTGGGCACCATCTGCTGCTGATGGCACGGAAGGCGGGGAAGGAGGAGGCTCAGCTGGGCTGGAGGAGGAGAGGACCCTGGGACATATTTAGGGAGACCCCTTCCCATCTCTAAATGAAAGTGGGAAAAGACCGTGAGGGTAGGCACTGGAGTCTGGGCGCCAGTTTCTTACAGCCCTCTGCACCTAACTCATCCGCACACACTTGAGGGAAAAGACCCAAGGACAAACGTCTTGAGAAAGGCCTCTCCCCACCCTAATCTCTTAAGTCAGGATAATGAGGCTGGAGGGGGCCTCTGAGAAGTCTAGCCTCCCAAGATGAAGTTCTGCAGTCCAGCCCTCTTCTGCTGTTTTCCTTCCCACTGCGTCCGCTACCCAGGGGGATACTCCGAGTCCGTTATCAGGATTCACTTCTGCGCTGGGAGAAGGCGTGGGAAGTAGAAATGACATCGGGTCGGCCACTGCTTCTCCCAACCCCCTCCTCCATACAAACTCTTGTCCCTATGTCTGCGAAGAATAAATTGTGGGAGTCAGAGCAGACCGGAGGGAAGTCCTGGAGAATGGGGTGGGGGGAGAGATGTCTCCCCCTTCCAACGCTGAAGCGAAACCAATTTGCCGGCTCATTTGCTGCGATGCTGGGGGGTCGGGAAACCCGGGAGGGCTGCTGTTCTCCACTCCACACCCCTGCCCCGCTTACACACACACGGGAGTGGGGGGGGGAGATTGCGCTCCCCTCTCGGAGCCGGCAGCTGTCCCTAATTAGAGCGGAGGTTTAATTGGATTTATCAGCAGTTAATAGGAAATTAAGCAAAGGGCCCGAGAGGCGGAGGGGAGGGGCTACAGAGGATACAGATTGGGAGGCGGGGTGGGGCTTGGAGTGGGAGTGTGCTTGTGTATTTTTGGGGGGGTAAGGTCATCGAGGTCAGCTGCAGAAACGAGGAAAGTGGTAGTATGTACCCGCATCCCCCTTACCCGGTTACACAGTACATTGACCCCAAATCGCAACCAGACTCTTCTTGCCAGGTCGCAGCCCCCTGGGGCTCCAGGATCAGAATGCGAAAGCAGCCTCCCGGAGGAGCCACCAGGAAGAGCATGTGAGGAAGGGACGGGTGGAGCTAGTGTGAACCAGAACCTCCCAGAACACCTCCTCCTTTGTAGCTATGATGAATGATTCGGCCTTCAGCAAAGGTCAAGAAGTCTAGCCCAGAAAGTGGACTGAATTGAAAACAGGCTGGGGTTAGGGTGGGCAGACTGTCTGCTAGGCCCTTGATGGGACTAGAAGCCAGCTGGGTCCCACCCTCTCTCCTAAGCTAAACAAAGAATGAGTCTTGCCAAGGTGGAAAGGGCACTGGAATTAGGAGTCAGGACACCTGAATTCAAATTCCAACCTTACTACTCAGTTGAGCAGGTTTGGATGACACTTTGTAGCTGTTTCTTTAGTTTCGAAATTAAGGGGTCAAACTAGCTGACCTCTAAAATCTCTTCCAGCTCTGACATTCCATAATTCTAATCCTGAGCTCCAATTTCCCTATTCCCCCAACCCCTCACACAAGAAAAAGGAAAAGTGAGACTTGGTGAAGTTAGGCAGCTGAGCAGGAGTGTTGGAAACTAGGAAGAGGTGTTAGGGCTTGACCTGGGGCCCTTCCTCCCTTGGTATTGCTATGCGTCTCTCGCTTAGATTAGCACTTACTGGGCTGGCTCCCCAATTCTTGCCTCCTACTTCACGCTGGGCCAAGGATACTGGGCCTTTCCCTAAATCTCTCTGGTGGTTCCTTTTCGTTTGCATAAACCCAATTTGCATATTGATACAGCTCCCCTACAAGTCCTGCTGTGGAGGGGTGGTGGTATGGAGATGCGGCACAGAAGGGACCCAGGGGTTCCTGCAGACATTCCCCAATTTGCATTAGGGATGGCAGCCACCACTCTGTGTTCTCTGAAGATAAGCCCTATTCCCACCCCTGGGAGATCACTCAGTGAACTTACTCCCTCCTCACTTACTGTCCAGAGAGGGGGGACTCCCGAAGAGAGGGAGGGAAACTCAAGAGGCTGAAGCCCCGGGGCCCCTCCAGTAAGGGGAAGCTCATAATGTGGCTTCGGCCCTCCAGTACCCCCAGGAGCTCTGAGCTAAACTGGGGCTGCAGGAAGCTGTTGAGTCAACAGCCGGAGGCACCTTGTGTCACCACGACCTCATTACACCACTAACGAGGCCACGATCCCCTGAGAGCCCCAGCCTGCCCCCCCTCAGCCTGCTTGCCTGTCCGTCTGAGAAGGGTTGGACTGGGGAACTGAGGGAAAGACTGACGGACACTGTGCCTGAGGATGCGTCTTCGTGTCTGGCTGTGACTGTGTGTGTGTGTCTTTGTGTTTATCCTTTTGTCTATCTGTCTCGATGTGTCGTGTGAGCCTGTGTGTATGAGAGATTCGGGGTGTGTTTGTGTCTTGGTGACAGTGCGTGGGCGTGTGCCTGGGTGTGAGACGCGCTGTATGTGTCCGTGTGACAAAGTGACGGGTGTGTATCTCGCCCCCTCCTATTTCCTCCTCTTCCCCATTTCTATTCCTCTCTCCTCTCCCGGCCTGGCTCCTGGCTCCGCTGCCTCCATCATCTCCATCCATTATTGAAGAAACAGCCGCGTCCGCTCCAATCACATCAACAAATCCCCATCACCACCGACACCCCCCCACCCCCACACCCCTCACCAGGGGCGCAGGAGGGGGAGCCAAGGAGTTGGGGGGATCAAAGACGTGCTGTGTGGGGAAGGGGGAGCAAGGGCTGGGGGAATAGAGCTCACGACCTCATGCCCTGAGCCGAAGGGGAGGAGGGCTGGGACCGTGGGCCGGGATGCCTGGGTCCCGCAGCGGGAGAGCGCTTTGCATAAACAGATGGTGCGGATGTCTTTGTCTCTCTCGCTCTCCGTCTCCGCTCCTGTCTGGCTGATGCAATAATGCACATCTCGGAGCCTCGGGACCCAGCTCCCTTAATAGCGGGAGAGGGGGGTCAGGGAGAGGGGGACGGCGGGAGGGGGTGGGGGGAAGAGCAGCTCCCGAGCAGATGCTGATTTGTCTTCCTTCCTGGACACCATCTCCTCCCTACAGCTGCATCGGGGAAAACTGAGACCATACAGGAGCTGAAAAGAGGAAGGGAAATGGGGAATAAGGCTCCAGGGATGTTCTTGGGAGTGTTGCAACATCGGGATCCTAATGTCGGAATTGGGGGGTAGGGTGGGAGGGAAAGAGAGGCAGAGATAGATGGGCAGAGACAGGAAAGGTAAGATCAAGTTGGTTAGAGGACTTGAAGGTGAAGGTTTTGGAGCAAAATGCCAGGACCTTGGATAGCGCCCTAGAGGGAGGAGTTGAAGGAGGGGGCGGCATAGATGAAAGTGGGGGAGGTGAATGCCACCCTGCTATCCACTCCCAACATGCTCCTGCCCAGCCACCTTTTCTCCCTACCAACTAGTTTGGCAGAACTCTCCAGAGCTGGTATTCAGCGTTAGCCACTGGGCCCAACTGCCCAGGGATCCCCAACTTCTAAGCCTTACCTCCTCAATGCTCTGGAGATCTGCCAGGGCAGCCCTTGAGTGCATTCCCATTATTACCACTCCAGACCCAAGGCGCGCGCGCACGCACACACACACACACACACACACACACACACACACACACACACACACTCCCTTACCTCCCCCCACCAAACGAATAGGGGTGGGTGACTGAGCTGAAGTGGCTTTGTTCTTGTCCTTGACAAGAACTTTTAGCCCCTGAACCTCTTGGAAAGGCCCTTTTCTGTATCTGGGAACGCCCTGGAGGGCAACTTCCACCTTGCCCAGCAGGTGGAGCTCTGAGGCTTTGCTCTTCACAGACTCTCCTAATACTGAGCGGCTGGGACCTAAAGCCTGGCGTGGGGACCCACACTGCATGTGGACCAGTATCCTCAGGACTTCCCCACTGGGCCTAACTCATTTTAATATGCAGCAGGGAGGACTGGTTGGATTACAGCATCCCCAATGAGCACTAATTAGGCAGATTGAGTCGTGGGAGCACAGCCCCCCACCCAAGTTTCCCCAGCTAATCCACAACTAATGACTCCTTAGGACCTGAGTCCTGTCTCTGAGTTGGCAACCTGCGCCCCCAATGCTGGAACTAGGGGGAGGAGGAGCTGTTAGCCCTGGGGCCAGAGAAAGAGAAAGACCTGGGGTCAGAGACAAGAATAAAAGGGGAAAGAAATTGAAACACACAACAGAGACAGACAGAAAATATTGAAGAGAGGAAGAAAGGGGCAGGAAGAGACAAAGAAAAGTCAAGGAAGTGGCAGATAGCTGGAGACAGAGGTGACAGAAGCCCAGAGAGGAGTAGAAAGAGACCAAGAGAAGAGAAAGAGAAAAGGGCCCCAGGCAAGGAGAGACAAAGACAAATATGGGGAGGGGGGAAGGTAGAGCTAGAGAGATAAGCAAAGCAAATCAGAAAGCATGGGGGGGGGAGAAAAGAGGTAAAGAACCTGAGGGAAAATGGTTGCAGAGATGTAAAGGACCTTCTAGTTCAGGGACGACGAGTGACCAGGAAGGAACATGGCAGGAGAGAGGGAAGGCCAGGAAGGATGTAAAGAGTAGAGGAAAGCAAGATCCAGAGCTAGAGAGAAAAAAAGTGGTTAAAGGCTCCTCAAACTCAACAACTGAGAAACAGGAAGCAGGAAGAGAGACTTGGATAGACTGGATCCTTCTGGTGTCAACATATTCTGCCCCTGAATTAGAATAAGTGGTGATCTTCCGCCCTCAGATGCTTAACACAGTCCCTTTGTCTAGTGTTTTTTCTTCCTTTTTTCTAAGTCCCTTTTCTGTGATGGGTGAGGGAGAAGATGAGGTCCACATTCTGGGGTCACCCTCTTTCTTTCCCCCACCTTAGCACCCCCTCCGTTTCCCCAGCTGTGGGATATACCAGAGCCAGATGTGCAGTCCAGCTGTGGCAGAGGCAAGAATAGGCTGTTTGATTTTTTTTTCTTCTCAGACATAGGGGTTGGGGGTAGGGAGAGGGAGGGAAAGGAGGACGTGGGAGTGAAGGAGAGCAGGGACTAGGGGGACTGGGCAGTGGCATCTGATCTGAGAGGCCGTTGGATGAAGTGTGACGCTCAACTCCACCCCTTATCCTGACTACATAAGGAGACTAGGATCAGAGGAGGAAAAAAGACAGACGCCAAGATAGAAAGCAATATTCATTCTCTCTCTCTCCCTCTCTCTCTCTCTCTCTCTCTCTCTCTCCCTCTCCCTCTCCCTCTCCCTGTCTCTCTCCCTCTCCCTCTCCCTCCCTCTCCCTCTCTCTCTCCTTCTCCCTCTCCCTCCCTCTCCCTCTCTCTCTCCTTCTCCCTCTCTCCCTCTCTCCCTCTCTCTCTCCTTCTCCCTCTCTCTCTCTCTCTCTCTCTCTCTCTCTCTCTCTCTCTCTCTCTCTCTCTCTCTTCTCTCTCTCTCTCCCCCCCCCCTCTCTCATCTCTTTGTTCTCTGTGTCTCTGACATTTTATCTCATTATCCTCGGAGCGGCTGAGAGAACCGGACCCCTCAGCCTAATTACCTAGTAGCCTAGCTGCTGTCATTGACAAGAAGGGGGGAGTGAGGGGGGCGAGAGGAAGGAAGTAGTCAGTAGAGTTGCAGGTGGCATGGGCTGAGGAGAAGTAGACACTGGTGGACTGCTGGGGGTCTGGAGGGTAGAAGTCCCAAAGGAAAAGGGATTATTAAAGAATTCATTGTCAACCACTGAGAGTGTGATCACTGGCTTCACAGCATTAGGGGGCAGGCACAGGGACCATTTTCCAGTGAGGGAACCTAGCAGTGTGCCTCTGAATGTCCCCCAACAATCAACCTACCCAGACTGAGGTGTACAATGTACACCTTTCCCTAGCTTGACTCCGGCTTGCAGCATCTGCTTCCAAGTCTCAGGGCAGTGGGGGGAAGGGCCACTTCTAACAAAAGCGATCCAAACGGTAGAGACTGGAGTGAAGAGAGTCTCTCCCTCACACTCACCTCAGAAACACCTTCTCCCACCAGGACGCTCACCTACAGGTGCCTGCAGACAAAGCTCTTGTTTTCAGGTGTCTCTGACTCTTTTTGGGTCTGTTCTTGTCCGTTTTCCTCTATGCTTGTGTCTACTCCCCCACCACTAGTGTAAATTCTGTCATTCTACTCTCTTTCCCCTGTTCTCTCTCTTCTCTGTTTGCTTTGTTTTCCCTCTCTCTTTCCCTCTTTCTCTGTTAGAGTGACTTGCCCCTTCTCCCTTCTCCTTCTCTCCCCCTTCTTCCTCCCCTCCCCCTTCTTCCTCCCCCCCTTTTCCCATTCCCTTCTCCCTCTCATCTTCACAAGATCGAAGAGAGTAGATAATATACTTCCCCTGATGGCTCCATTGGTTCCCTAGTCTTCATTCCAACACCCCTGATGTTGGGGAGAGGGCTGTTTCTGACCAAGAAATGATCCCTAAACTGAATATGAACCTATAAATCCAGCTGGATTTCAAATCTGTGTGAGAATCCAGATCCATGAGCCCAAAGTAGAATTTGAGTGTGATTCTCCTGAATCAGACTTCTCTCACCTGGAATGGTCCTGGTCCCAACGTGTGTGTGTGTGTGTGTGTATGTGTGTGTGTGTTGGGGGGTTTTCCATACTTTCTGGGTCTCATTCCAAAACAAGAGCTTCCCCATCCCTACTGCTAGACCTCCCAAACTGGTCCCACCACCTGTAGCCTAGGTTTTTAGGAGAGGGGAGAGGATTGGGAGGGGGAGATTTTGCCCTTCTGTCTCCCTATCATGTCTCCGGTGGCAATGTTGCTGAGCAATTAGTTTAATAAATGTGTGTGTGGGGGTGGTTCCCATCCCTGTGCCCCTGGCTTTGATCCCAAGTCTGATCCAATGGGAGCTAAGAAGGGGAGTTCTGGGATGGCAGTGGGGAGAGGTGTGATCTATGAGTCTCATCAAACCATCACAGGGCCCCAGCCTTTAACTCTAAGCCCTTCAAAGCCACAGACACTTCTAATTCTCTCTTTCCCCAGACTCCCAGATCTCTGGGCCCTGTTGCAGATATCCTGGGCCCCGTCATAGGACCTACACCCCCTGCCAATTATTCTTGGGAGGAGGCTTCAATTATGAGCAATACTGGGCCAACTCTTGGCTCCTACAGATCCACAGGACCACCTCTCCCAAAAAGATGATTTTATTTTATTTTATTTTGGCTAGGCAATGGGGTTAAGTGACTTGCCCAGGGTCACACAGCTAATAAGTGTTATGTGTCTGAGACCGGATTTGAACTCAGGTCCTCCTGAATCCAGGGCCGGTGCTCTATCCACTGCACCACCTAGCTGCCCCCCAAAAAGATTCTTAACCTGGGGTCCGTGGACCCCCAAGGAGTCTTGGATAGATTTTATGGAGTCACATACTTGGATGGGAAAACAATTACATCTTTATTTTCACCAAATTTAACTGATTTTGTGTTTCCTTCAGTCATGGATTTTGAAAAAACAACCTTATTCTGAGAAGGGATGAATGGGTTTCAATCGATTGTCAAAGGGGTACATAATACAAAAAAGGTTAAGAACCCCTGATCTTTGAACGGGTCCAAAGCTGGAGCTGCCTGGGAGACAGAAATTCCTGTATCCTACCCTCAACTCATCTACTCTGCCCCAATTTGACCTCCTTCTTTCGGTTTTCCTGGCTCAAAAATAGGGATTTCCTGCTCCACATCCTCCTCAACTTCTTCCAAGCCCCAATTCTCAAAAATACTTTGGCGCTCTGCGTGTACGTTGGGGGAGGGGGTTCACGAAGGTTATTACCATATTGCTCAAAATTTGAGCGTCCTGGGCTCAGGCTGAATTGGGCAAGGGTGTATTCCTGTACTGGGAAGTGTGGGAGGTGGCATCCCATTCCCAACGCCAGCCCCCTAAACCCTTTTCCAAGTCTTTTCCCAGTTCCGCCGCTGGAGGAGAGAGGAGGCGAAGTGGAAGAGGTGGAGGCAAACTCGGGGCTGGGCTGAGTTGACCCCTCCCAGAGCCCTGGGCAAATGGGGTGGGGGAGAGTGGTAACCCAGGAGGAGAAAAAGAGTGTAAGTGGAAGAGGAGGAGGAGGAGAAGGAGGAGAAGACGGGAGAATACAAAGTCAACATGTTAGGAACCAAATTTTGGGACCGTTTCATCCGGCAGATCAAGAGAAACCCCGGAGTGAGTCCCATTCCCTCTCTGGGCCCCCGTATTTCTAGTTCCCCATCCCTGCCCTCTACCTCAATATTCTCCAAGTTCTTACCCTGCTATCCTCACTGTCTTTTAGTAACTGTCCCTCTTCCTAGTTTCTTCTATCCTCTGTCTCTCCCCACCCCTTTCTCCTCTCCCTTGCTATAGCTTAACTAGGTTTGTAGGAAATGGGCCTATGCTGACAAGGGAAACGAGCAATCCGGTTGGGGTAGGAGGATCCCGAAGGGCTAGGACAAGTTCGGAACCAAGGGATCTAGAGAAGGAATCTGAAAATGGACCCTCCAGGTCCCTCACGTCCTCTTATGAATGAGAAGGCTGGAGAGGCCAGACTAACCCTTTCCTGTGAAATGCGCCCTTCGGAGGTTGGGAGATGGGGGGGGGGAGGGTTGTAGCGAGAAGTTGAGGGAACCTCGGAGACAAGAATGAGGGGCCCGATTCGGTGAGAGGAAAGAGTCGACTTCTAAACAACTCCCCGATTGACGCTCTCATCCTTCTCCAACTTCCCCACGCCAGCTCATTCCGCTAATCAGCTTCATTGGCCTGGGGATGGGCAGCGCTGCACTTTACCTGCTTAGACTCGCCTTACGCAGCCCAGACGTCAGGTAAGGGCCTAAGGGAACTAACAGGGACGCCACCCAGAAGGCTTGGGTTTGGACTGGGAAATGGGGCCGAAAGAGGGAGAAAGAAGTCGCTGGGGAAGATGGAGGTATTGAGGGAAGCAGCCAGCTGCGAGGTTCTCTGAACTGGACTTGCCTTTGGATATCCCAACCCACCCACTGTCGTCAGACTGTAGGGCTCGAACCTGGCTCTCCCTGCGCCCTTCCCCCGCCCACTTCAGCAGACACAAGCCTTGGGCCCAGCTCAGGTGGTCCGGGTGACCGAGCTGAGCTCCCTACCCGGTTGCCATGGCGACGCCACTCTGCCCGCGGCCCGGCGTAAGGGCTGGCAGCTGAATTGCCGCCGCGGGGGATGGGACCCTCCCTCACTCCGAGAAGCAAGCAAGGGGGCAGATCCAGTCAGTTTCCTGGCCCCAGCCGCAACTCGCAGTCTTCGGTTTCCTACCCTTGTGCCCCAGGCCCTGGACACCCCTCCAGACAGCCTTCAAGGCTGCCCTTTAAATCCTCATTATGCTTCCCCTAAATTCTCAACCATATCTCCCCAGTACCCATAACATCCTCCTCCTGCGCCAGCCCACCCCCAATTTGGCCACGGCTACTACCCCCCCCCCCGCCTCTTTCTATCAATATTACCTCCCCGCCTTCCCCATCCCCCGCCCCTCCGCCCCAGCCCTGCTCTGTTTTGCGAAACTCGGAAAGTGAAGGGCTTGGAGAGGTATCCCCGAGCTAGAAGGAGGAGGGGGAGGCCGTCGGGCTGAGCTGTCAGCTACCAGCCCCACGCTGACAGTGGTGACAGGCTGCCTGTCGCCCGTCCCGTCAGCTTCTTCTAATGTTGTGCCCCTCCCCCAACCTCCCACCCCCGTAGATCTGTCTCTGTCAGGGAAAACAGCCCTTCCCTCACTCGAGCCCCTGGGAGGGGGGGACCCTATGGCAAAGAGAGGGAGAAGGAGTCAGGGCTTCCGAAGAAGGGACCCTTTATTTACCCAGCCCCTTCTTCCCCGCCCCGCCTTCTTCAGCTGGGACAGAAAAAATAACCCAGAACCTTGGAATCGCCTGAGCCCCAATGACCAGTACAAGGTAACACCCACCTCTCCCCATCCTGAGTCCCTTGCCCCTCACCCACAACCTCCCTTCCAACCTCCCGGAACTACCCTGTCGCTTCATACTCTCCAGACTTGGAGTTTCAGCGTTCACAACTGGCATCCCCAATACTCTCTGGTACCTTCCTCCTTTTACCCTTGGAGCTGGGGTCCCAGGGCCCCTTTCCATAAAGTTGGGGGTTAGACCTAGGGGACAGGTTGGCGTGGCCCAGGGTGAACACCCTTCTTTTCCACCCCTCCTGCTTCCTGCAGTTCCTCGCAGTCTCCATGGATTACAAGAAACTGAAGAAGGATCGGCCGGACTTCTGAAGTGGGAGGCCTCTAGGAGGGGTGTGTGTGTATGCGTGTGTGAAGGTGAAGTGTTCTTGTAGGGGGACTGAGGTCCAGTGCCTGTGACCGGGTGGAGCTGGGCCGAGGGGAGACGGGCAGGAGACTGGGTGTGTGGACGCCAATAAACACCATCACCAAAGTCCGACGTCTAAGACTCGGTGTACGGGTTCGGCGTCTGGGGTTCTTCCTGCCTGGGCCTGGCTTCTCAAGTCCATCGGTAACACTTCAATGTCAGTGCTCCTCACTGCTGCAGACCTAGGTTCCCACGCTCTGGGGACTGGTCTTCCCATCCCCGATGTTCCGGACAGCGGAAGCACCTCTGACACAGACCAAATCCCAGGCGTCAAAAACGAAGGGGAAGTACCAGAAGCCCCACCCCCACCCCCTCCGAGGCTAGGGAAAGAGGGTGGAATCAGAGATCAAGAGACACAGAAGGCACACAGCCTGAGGCCGGAGGGCAGAGCTTAGCTCTCTCTCCAAGGCACCAGGCCAGAAGCTTGCGTGTCAGACGTGCACCAGAAGCCCTAGCTGGCCCCATTTCTCCCCTGGGCACGGGCTCAGGGGGTGGGTCCAGCTGGCTTCTTTAGCCCCACCCTCACCAGGACAGGCAGTACGTGCCATCCCCCCTGCCCTCTCCACTTGTAACTCCGAGGTGGCCAGGGAAGAAGGCCCAGAGTCATCATGTACCTAACACCTTGCCACAGGCCTAGACCCCCCACAGCTTCTATCAGTGTGTTCTGGCCCTAGCCCTCCACCTCATGCCTCACAAGAGGATCACCCAGGGATAGCTCCCACATCTCTCCTCATCTACTCCTAGTCTCCTCCCTTCCCCCAAACCCCAATCTCGGGGGATCAAGTAGAGGCAGCCGTGGGCAAAATACAATTTCATTTAACAAATTGAATTTGCTGCGCCTGCTAATCACGTCTGGTGTCCGCTCTGATCAGAGTCAGAGGGAGGCAGATCAAGCCCCATGGCCCCATGCCCCCAGGGAGGGAATACAGAATGTGAAGGGGGGAAACCCAAGGCAGCCTGTTACCCATCTTTCTCTGTTCCCCCTCAACTGAAAAACAGGAGACAGCTGCAGCATTTTTATTAGATAAAAAAAAGAGGCAGATCTATCTGAGCCCCTTCCCCCCTATCCAAACAGCTCATCTGCCCCCTTCCAACTATACAGAAAAGCTGGGGGAAACACAGAGTAAGGTGCTTTCAATTAATGTGTTAGAGAAAAGAGAGAGGCCAGAAGATGCATCACATCTACTTTATCCCAAACTTCAAAGAGTATTAGAAAACTCAGCTACAAACTTAGTGGGCTGGGGAGAAAGTCCCCTTTTGGGACCAAGGGCTCTCTTCTTCCCCTAGAGAAAAACAGGAGTAAGAAGGTGCCTCCTCTCCCCAAATCTGCTTAGCAGGAAGGGATAGGTATCATCCAGTTCTTAGAAGCAGAGAAGCAGCACAGCCCCTTAGTGCTCCTCAAAGCCAGGCATGGGAAAGGCCCTCGCAAAATCTTCTACTCGTTGCCTGAGACTGGACAGCCGCTGTCTTGTTTCAGGATCATTCAGGAGAAAGGATTTGAAATCTTGGAGCTTTGCTGGAGGTTGGGAGGAAAATGGTAGAGGGGAGAAAAGGGATGGTGTGACAGAAACGAGCAGAAGGGTTCCTACCCGGTCCCCCCTCCCAAACACGCTTGACCCTGGAAGAACAGTAGATTATCCAGTGAGCAGTTCTCAAGGAATGATGAAAGGAGAAAAACCAGCTCAAGGATGGCTTGTGGGCAATCCAGGGCTCTCAGCCAGACCACTCACCCGTCTTGTTCTTCACATCTAGCCCAATGTGAACACCTTCATCAATAAAGTTCACCACCTGCCGAAAGTCATCTTCTCGAAAGTGTCGAGATGTTAAGGCCGGGGCCCCTGTTTAGCAGGAAAGGCATTATTAGAGTACAGGCTAGGCCATACTCCTAATTACAAACTCATGCCCCGGGATCGTTAGGGTGAGGGCCTCTTCTCATTCATTTATCTTGTACCTATGAAATGACAGGCACTCTGCTAAGTGAGAGATGCAAAAAGACACACCTCCAGGTTGTCTTCCTGGACTGAGGCACAAGCCCTCCCAGGGTCACTCACTGTCAGCCCCTCTCCCCACATACCAAGTCTGAGTCCCCCTGGGGTGATGGCGCTTCGGTCCCCTGGACAGGTGTTCTTGTTGGCAGTGATAGACACCAGTTCCAGAACTCGCTCAGCCCTAGCTCCATCCAGCCCTTTGGGCCGAAGGTCAACAAGAACTAAGTGATTATCAGTGCCGCCTGAAAGAGGAAAATGGGAGAGATAGAGGTGGGTGAGTATCCCCTTAGGATTCCCAACAGTCTTTCTCACAGGAACCTCCAATGCACACTAATAGTGGCTCCCATGACCCCTCACCAGACACCAAGGAGTATCCCCTCTGGAGAAGCTCGTCAGCCATGGCCCGGGCATTCTGAAGGACCTGCTGGGAATACTCTCTGAACATAGGGGTATTGACCTAGAAGGGGCACAGAGGAGATCAGCATTAGCACCCAGGAGACACCTGTATCCACACCTACCCCATCACTCCTGAGAACAGAAGGGTCTAGGATCACATCAAGAGCCAGAAGAGAACCTCTAGTCCAGCGGTTCCTAATTTGGGGGTCCAAGAAATTTTTCTTTTTTGCTTTTTGGTGAAGCAATCAGGGTTAAGTGACTTGCCCACAGTCACACAGCTTGTAAATGTTATGTGTCTCAGCATGGATTTGAACTCAGGTCCTCCTGACGTCAGGGCCAGTGCTCTATCCACTGTACCACCTAGCTGCCCCTAAGAATTTTTTAAAAAATATCTCCGAACTGTACTTCAGGATAACTGGTATCTTTTGTAGTCCTATGTATTTTACTCTATGCATTTAAAAACAGGATTCTGAGAAGGGGTCTACAGACTTCACCAGTCTGCCAAAGGGTTCCAGGACACAAAAGAGGTTAAAAATCCCTGACCCAGAACAACATCCTCAATTTTATAGGTGAGTAAAGTTAAACTCAGAGTAAATTGCTTAAGTTCACAAAGGTACCAACACAATCTCTTATACGATGCTGTTCTACCCTTCCCCCCATAGGAAGAGCCTCCTCCTACCCCTCCTTCAATGAAAAGAAATTAGTGTTAATTATTTTCCCCTAATCCCGAAGGATTTATATCCTGCTCCTCCCCACTCCACCCCCAACAGATGCACCTCTTTTTTTTTCCCCTTCTCCCTCCATAGCCACTCTAACAGTAATAAGACATGAAAAATATATGACTCCAGCATAACACCCCCTTTTTCCTACTGCTGCACAATAAATCTAGTCCTACCAGCATCCAGGCTGCCATTCCACAGAGGTATGATGGGCATGACTCATTCATTCCAATCGGACCCCACCAATCAGGGGCAACCCCACCTACCTGCTTGAGGGCCACGGCCACAGCTGCAATGGCGTGGTTATGGGGCCCACCCTGCAGGGAGGGGAACACAGCAAAGTTGATTCGATCCTCAAATGTGTAGGGGATCTCTCGCCCAGTTTTGGGGTCCACAGACTGTACCCCTTTGCGATAGAAAATGAGTCCCGCCCTATTAGAAGAGAGAAAATGAGGTCAGGGTCTGTGTGTAATTTGGGATTGTGGGAGAGGTAAAAGGATTGATTGGGGTAGACAAATTGGGAAGAATCTGGCTCTTGTGGAACCTTAGATGCTTAAGGTCTTCTGAAGTCAGGGTTTCTCTGCAGGTTAAAACTCACAACAGGATTAGGATTAGAAGTAGGGCAGACAGATCAGGTTGTACAAAAAGAGTATGGGACCAGAAAAAGGGCATTATTCTGGGATTCTAAACTCAGGACAGAAGGGCTCAAGAGGAGGTTACTAGGAGAGAAGAAGTAAGAATCTTCTGGGCAGACCTTTTCCCTTTCCCAGTCCCCAAGTGGATCCCCAACTGTTTTCCATCGCTTTAAAAAAGCCTGTTTGACAGTTCATCATAAGGTTTTGAGGGAGTCTAGTGACTCATCCCTACTCTTTAGAGGGGTGGGGTGAGTGTGTGTGTGTGTGTGTGTGTGTGTGTGTGTCTGAAGAGTCTTTGAAGAGCTTTCAGCACAGTGGAATGCCCAGTGGCAAGCTCTGACCTGGCCCCACGCAAGGTCTTGTGGGTGGTGGTCGTGACGATATCTGCGTGGTCGAAAGGCGAAGGAATGACCTTGGCAGCCACCAGGCCACTGATGTGTGCCATGTCAGCCATCAGATGGGCTTTGACCTCGTCACACACCTAGATGAAGGACAGGAGCTCAGCTTGGTGGGATAGGGGAAGAGTTACTTAAGTCTAACCCACCTCAGATATCTCCACAAAGGGCCCAACCCACCCCCAGCTTGACTCACCTCCCTCATTCGGGCATAATCAATGAGACGAGCATAGGCACTGGTGCCCGCAATGATAAGACGTGGCCGGAACAGCCGGGCAGTGAGGGCCAGCTGCTCATAGTCAATGAGGCCAGTTGAAGGCTGAACAGATGGACAAATGGATAATTGAGACTCTGGGAGTGGGGAAGAGGAGAGCAATTCTCTTCTCCTCTCAACCCACAGGGCTGCAGAGGTGAAATCTCTCCTGTCTTCCACCCTGCCTCCAATATCTCATGCTTCCTTCATCTTCCATAACTCACATTCAGTTTATATGGCATAGATTCAAAGAAGATGGACGTGGCTGAGATCCGCTTGACACTAGACATGTAACCATGAGTAAGGCTGGGGAAGAGAAAGAGAGAGAAAAGCCAAGGAGATCTCAAAGCAGGGGAAAAAAATTCCCAAAAACCCAGGCTCCCCATATGCCCAAATTCCTTTCACTGCTTGTGTCCTAAAGTCTTTTCCTCAATTCAGGCCCCCAATTCCCTTCTCCACCTCAGGGAAATTCCACTTAAGCAAATCTCCCCTATAGTTTTTTAGATACAATTTCCGAGCCCTTTGCCCTAGCTTGTCTTAGCTGCTTCCTCCCTCTTTCCCACGGTTCCCTTCAAACTCACTGGCCGCCATCAGGAAGATCCAGTCCCATGATCCTGTCATGGGGCTGCAGGACGGCTGTGTAGGCAGCCAGATTGGCTGGAGACCCTGAATATGGCTGGACG